CCTTGCCCTTCCGCTCGTGCGCTCCAAGGGGTCAGCGGCGACAAGTCCTACGGGAACCCGGGCTGGACTTCGTCTCCCCGGGTGGTGCCAAAAATGCCACTGTCGCCCTTAGCATAAGCTCCAGTGTGGGGTCCAGCTACGGGGGCCTTAGCTAGACCTCTTCCTTCCTGGGTGGTGCCAACCTCGAAAGTGTCGCCGCTCTTATGAGCTCTTGGGGGGTCAGCGGAGGCCAGTCCCATGGGGGCCCAATCTCGCCTTCGTTTCCTTGGCTTGTGCCAAAACGCTACTGTCGCCTTTTGCATGAGTTCCTGGGGGGTGTCAGCTACGGGGGCTCAAGCTCGACCTCGTTTTCTTGGGTAGTGCCAGCTGCGCAAGTGCCACCTTTTACGGGAGCTCCTCGGGCGGGTTTGGTGGAGCGCGGTCCTGCGGGAGGTGCTGATAACTGCGCAGCTGTCGGCCTTTCGTAAGCTCCTGGGGGTGTCCAATTGATTGCGGCGCTACGGAGACCGTAAGTCGACCTCGCCCTCCGGGGTGCTGCCAGCTGCGCAAAGGTCGCCATGTGTCTGTGCACCAGAGAGGCTTCACTGGAGTGACGTCCCCGAGTGGGTCGTAACGTTGCCACTCCCATGACACGCTGGCGAGTTGGACGGCCTCTGGTTGCACCTGTACGTCACGCTGTCCAAAGCCACGAGGTCGGATAACCTGCTTGTGTTTGTGACCCAGGCCTGGGCGCTTTCGCCCCTGAGCCGCCAGCGGGTTTGGCGTCGCAGCTGCGGATTGCCAGTTCCAGCGCGAAGCACTGCATGTCATGGGGGTAGGCAACATACCATTTAGTTTCAATTCGGGGTCGTTCCAGCCGCCTTCTTGTCCTCGTCTTCATCTTGCGCAGTGTATTTCACGCATCGCGTACCCCCACCAGCCCATCCAGGGGCGATGCCCGGGGAACCGCCCTTCTCGATGGATCGTGGCATTATTTGGAGAGCACGGGGGGCCCGTGTGGATCAGGGGCCTCTTGTTTGGATCTCGGAGTCTCTTGCCTATTGGGGGCCTCTTGGGGCGTCGCGGGGCTTCTTGCCGGCTTCGAAGGCCTCCCAGAGCGTCTAGGGTGACCCCAGGAGACCTCGTGGGGCCTCTTGGGGGCCGCTAAGGGGGCCTTTCGGGGGCTTGGTGGGAGTCACTCGGGGCTCTCTTGGGGGCGCCTCTTGGGGCCCTGCTGGGCCTCTTTGGGGGGTTCTCAGGCCGTTTCGGGGCTATCTTGGACGCCGTCGATCAAAGAAGGGAGGGGGGGGGCATCGATCAGCCCCGTCCCCCCCGACGAGGCCAGCGGTGGCCCCGAGCGGATGAACAATCAACCGTTTGGCTTTCTCATTGAAACCGTGCTAGACGCTCCGACCGCCCGCGTACCCCCCCAATCCAGATCCGCGGGGAGGGGGTCGGGGGAGGGGTCAAGACACCTCGCCCAGATTGAAGCGCGTAAATTGCACCCGCATCTGAGCGTATCCAGCTGTCGTCTTTAGATAGGCAGCTATCGGGAACCATGCGGGCCCCAGGTGCGCGACGCTGGGGCGAGGCGCGCCACGCGGGTCAGGCGCGGCGCGCGTGCCAGGCGTGCCACGCGCACAAGGCGCGCAAGGCGCCCTGAGGTCCAAGCCTGCCAGGCATGCCTGGTGCGCCAGATGTGCCACGTGCTCCACGTGTGCCAAGTGTGCCGCATGTTCCAGCCGCGTCAGGACCGCCACATATGGGGCACGCGCAGATTGTGCCAGTGGCCGTGCGCACGGCAGGTCATATGCTGACATTTCCGCCGTCACTGTCAAAAACAATCCAACGTGTTCGCGGGGCTTCTGGACATGATTTACATGTTTGTCGTAAGTGTATGTTTGCATTGTCTTTTTGGCTGGGTGGGTGGGGTGGTGGTGGCATTGTACGTTGCAGATAATATGCCAACGCCCCCGCCGTCCCTAGCAAAATCGGTGTAAAATGGTCGCGGGGCGCCTGCGCATGTTTCAGATTTGGAACCAACGTATATTTTGTATTGCTCTTTGTCTGGAATGGTGGGGTGGGATGCTGATGTGTACGGGTTGTTTGCCGGTCTGGTGGGGGAGGGGGTGTATTGATAGGGAACAGTGGTGGCGGGGAGGACGGGTGGAGGATGGAAAGGCCAACGTTTCAAACCACGTCAGCCCTGAGGGCTGGTGTGATTTTATTTCCCAGCTATCCAAACCTTTGTTCTTTCGGTCGTCGTCGTCGTCGCTTCGTCTTTCCGTTTTTTTTGTCCCGCCTTTTGCGATTGCGGCATGTGGGTGCCATGGTGCACGCACTGCGTCGGCTTTTTATGTAGCTCTCACAGAACGGATTTGCTGGGTGCGACCATACCCCAACATCTCGCGGAGTGTGCAATGGTTACACGGATGGTTTGTTGTTCCTTTGAGCACGAAGCTTTCATTTGACACCGCCTTTACTTGTGTTGTCCCACTTCTCGGTGCTTATTATTTGCGTTCGGTCCATACCGCCGCCGTGCCTGGGTCGTGGACAAGAGGCCTCTCAGATGTCATCTGGGTTCTTTTTTGGGCCTGGGGGCTTTTTGGAGGTCTATTTGGGCCTCGTATTTGTATTTCGGGAACGTTTCGTTTCTTGTTGACGAGCTCTTGGCGGTCGCGTGGGCCATTTTTGGGGAAAAAGGCTCGACACGTCAGTTCGGGCTCCCCCTCGTGGACCCTTTCTGCTGTTACTGGGCCGTCTTAGGGCCTTTTGTGCCCTCCTGGGAAGCTAGAGAGGGCGTTTTGTGGCGATGTCTGGGGCCTCTTAATGTCGCCCTGCTCGCTTTCAAAAGCGATATCGAACAGCCGAGTCTGCTAGAATCATGCTCTTTGGGGCCAGCCCCCAGGGCCCCTCACACGGCCCAAGATGCGCCCATGAGGGCTCCAGGACGAGCCCTTGCACGTGTATGTGGAGTCCCGACCACGGTCCCGAGGCTGCTGAGCAAGTCGCGCACGCCGCCCTGACAGCGCCCGGGAACGCCCGTGATGGCTCTACTGAATAAAGAGAGCGGCCCCCAAGAAGCCCCAAGAAGCCCCAAAGAGGCCCCCAAGAGGCCAAGAGACTCCTGGAAGACCTCCAAGAGCTCCAAACCGCAAGCAAACAGGCTTCCGAGAGGCCCCCAAGAGGCCTCCCAAGAGGCCCCAAGAGGCATCTAAGAGGCTGGGCCCGCGGGGCGGGAACCACGGCGGGCCTCCCTTCGGGAAGCCTGCTGGACTGGGGTCCCGGGGGGGCCTCCTGGGATTCTCCTCCGCCTCCTCCTCCGCCTCCTACTCCTCCTCCTCCTTGTCCTCCTCCGCCTTCTCCTCCTCGTCCTCCTTCTCCTCCGCCTCCTCCTCCGCCTCCTCCGCCTCCTCCTCCTCCTCCTCCGCCTCCTCCGCCTCCTCTTCCTCCTCCTCCTCCTCCTCCTCGTACTCCTCCTCCTCCTCCTCCTCCTCCTCCTCCTCCTCCTCCTCCTCCTCCTCCTCCCCTCTGGGGGCCTGCTGGGAGCTCTTTGGGGTCCTTCAGTGGGGGCCCATTGGGTCCTCCTGGGCTCTCTTGGAGCCACCCCGCCCAGGACCCTGCGACTCCGCACATCGGGGGCCCATTGTTAAGTCGGGCCTGTTATTCAAAAATAGGCCAAAAATTGTCAGGGGACGATTTTTCGAGTTTTTTTTGTCCACTTGGGGGTATTTTGTTGATTATTTTTGATTTTTCTTCCAAAATCCCCATGTAGGGGACATGCCCGACCTAAATCTGTCGGCGACGTATTACCGATTCCAGCACGACGCTTCCCTCCCCTGAGCCAGTCTCCCCTTTCTCCGTCAAGGCTTCGCCGCCGCCGCAGCTGTCGTCGCCGTCGTCGTCGCCGCCGCCGTCGTTGCCGCCGTCGTCGACGTCGTCGTCGACTTGTTGCGGTGTCTGGGAGGTTCTTGGAACCTCTTTTGGGGTCCTCTTGGGGCTGTCTCTGGGGCATATTTGGGGCCTTCATGGTGGCTTGGGCGCCCCCTGGGGGCCGTCTTGGGCTGACTGATCCTTTTGAAATGGGGCTCCCGCCTGAATGGCAGTCTCATGGGTAGCTCGCTTTTAAGAATGCCTGCGGAGGGATGGTGTATTGCATCATCGCTGACGTGTCCTTCGTTCGCTCAAGTCCGCCTCTTTTTCCTCCCCCTCTTGCCTCCCCTCCTTCCTCTCCACCTCCTCCGCGTTACAGCAGCAGAGACGACAGACGCCGACAGAAACTGCATCACAGCAGCACTGCCGAAAGCACAATGACCTCTAACACCAGAAAGCATGGCGACAACACAAGCGACGACAGCAAGTCCGACGTCAGAAGGCATCTGGATTTTGACCACGTCGACGACGAATCCGACATCGAATCCTGGGACAACTTTATTCGAATGGCTGCCCACACCGCCTCAGACCTTGCGACGCGCGCACATGTTTAGGAATTGATCACAGCATATCACAAGCGCAAATGGAGATGGGCCAGGCGAGTTGCCGTACAATCGCGCCACACTTGGGCCCGATTTGCAGCGGCGTGGGGAACTGCTATCCATGACCCCTAGGCAGCACAACGCCGATACGGTGGACAGCGACAACGGTGGAATGACGACAGTACAAAATTCTTACAGAAGGCGATTCTGGTTGACAGCGCGCACGGCACATGGTCACAAAGTGCTACCGGCTCCAAACTCTGGGCAGACCTTGAGAACGGCTTCTTGAATTTCGCACGCCTGTGACTGGGCTCCGGCCCGCCCGCGCCGCCCCCAAGGGGCCTGCCAGCCCGCCGGCCGGCGGACTCGCGCGTCTGCGTCTGCGTCTGCGTCCTCTTCCTCCTCTGTCCCCTCCTCCTCCTCCTCTGCCTTCTTCTCCTCCTCCTCCGCCTCCTCCTCCTCCTCCTCGTCCTCCTCCTCCTCCTCCTCCTCCTCCTCCTCCTCCTCCCCCGCCGAGCCCTCCCTCGCTCCCACCCCCCTCTGCAGCTTCGTGATGATCTGCTCCGGGTTGGCGGCGCTGGTGTGCGTCGCCGCCATCTTGTTTGTGAGCGACTTTCTCCAGGAGTTCCCCGCCGTCCCCCTTATCTTTCTTCTTCTTCTTCTCCTCCTTCTAATTCTTCTTCTTCTTCATTGAGTGACTTCCTCTAGGAGTGCCCCGCCCCCCCCCCCCTTCACGCGGCGCCCCCTGCGGTTATGCTCTGCGAATGGGGAGGGGGGGGGGAGAAGGAGGGGGGAGGGCGAGGAGGAGGGGGAGGAGGAATCGAGGGGGGTTGGCGAGGAGGACGTGTTTGGAGGATAAATGGGGGGAGGGTGAAGGGGCTGAAGGAGGGGGAGGGGCTGGAGGTTTATGAGGAGGAGAAAGATGAGTATGGGGAGCAGGTCATGATGATGATGATGATGATGATGATGATGATGATGATGATGATGATGATGATGATGATGATGATGATCATCATGAGCATGATGATGATGATGATGATGATGATGATGATGATGATGATGATGATGATGATGGTGGTGATGACGACGACGATGATGATGATGATGATGATGATGATGATGATGATGATGATGATGATGATGATGATGCCGGTGATGATGATGATGATGATTGTGGTTGTGGTTGTGGTGATGACGTTGACGTTGGCGATGACGATGTCGACGACGACGACTACGTCGACGACGACGATTATGATTCTGATTATGATTATGATGCTGATGATGGTGATGATGATGACGATGACGATGATTATGATAGTGATGGTGATGGTGACGGTGATGGTGGTGGTGGTGGTGTTGGTGGTGATGATGGTGATGATGATGGTGATGATGATGCTGATGATGATGATGATGATGATGATGATGATGATGATGATGATGATGATGATGATGATAGTGAGGATGATGGTGATAGTGACGGTGGTGGTGATGGCTGTTGATGGTTATTTTGTAGGAGGTGAGTGGGGCGGGGTGGGTCTGAGGGGCAGAGTCAAGCCATGATACATCCACTTTGCTGTAGTACACGCTCTTTCAAAGTTCCCTCTTCCAATTTCCTACAGGTTTTCCTGCTCACTACATGGAGCGCCCCTTGGCTCCACAGGCTTGCAATTCAGGCGAGCCTTGTCTTGAAACGGATAATACAACCATTGCGATAGTTGCCAAGCTGCAAGAATGTATGTGCATGGTGTTCAAGAAAGTTTCAAGCGAGAGCAGTTTTTTGAATTGCAGGCGCCCTCCATCTATGCATCGGTCGAACCACGACTCCCTCATCGCTGCCTGTGCCGCCATGTCGCAATGCAGGGGCTACTCCCTGGGGCGCGCCCACAGACTGGGGTCCAGGTGGCTACGGAGGAGGAGGAGGGGGGCGAAACATATGGAGGCGCTCAGATCCCAACCTGGAGACCCTTTTGGATCCATCGCGGATCCGGGCAGGATCAGCATTGAAGCGCAAGGTTTGCTTCGGCGCGGAAGGTCGAATCCATGGTGGATCAAAGCAGGATTCCTAAGACACGATGCGGTTTTGCTCACATCCCAACGTGGTAGCCATCGCAGGATCCTGGTAGAAATATATGGTGCCGTGGAAGTGCAAGGTCGAATCCACCGTGGATCCGGGCCAGATCCCAGTGAAAGCAAATGGTTTCGCGAAATCAGCGACGTCGCATCCATCGTGGATCCAAGCAGGATCCCAAATAACACATTTGGTCTTGTTCAGATCCTGGCATGGACACCATCGTGGATCCATAATTAGTTCATCCAGTCAGGATCCCTCTGGGAACATAGAGTGTCGTTGAGTGTGCAAGTTCGGAACCATCGTGGATCCAAGCAGGTTCCACATGAAGACGTATGTATTCGGATAATCCGCAACATCGGATCCATCGTGGATCCAAGCATGATCCCTGTGAAAAACGTATGGTATAGCTCAGATCCCGAGATGGACACCATCGAGGATTCATCGTTCATCTGGGCAGGTTCCCTATGAAGACATCAGGTGTCGTTGAGTGTGCAAGTTCGGAACCGTCGTGTGTCCAAGCAGGATCCCTATGGCAACATATGGTTTCGTGAAATATACAATGTCGGATCCATCGTGGAGTCAAGCCAGGTCCATCGCACAGTGGCGCCAGACCCTACACAGCGACAGGGATCGTAGACCGCGGATTCGCCTGCCCTCCTCCTGACAGAGTGCTAGCTAAATGGGGGGCCACGGCCCGTCCACGTCCTCCTCCCCCGCCCCGGATCGGCGGGGGGGAGGTCCCGTTCAATTCGTGTTATATCAATGGACCGCTGGGCCTCCAGTGGGCATGACTGGGTTGCGCCCCCCGCGCGCGCCCGCGGGCGCCCCGCAGGCGCCTCGCGACCCTCGCGCCCGCCCGAATCACGGATCCGTGCAGGGAGTGCCCGCGCGCCAGTGCGGTCGCTGAGATTTGCTCGCGCACCCCGGTGGGCAAAAGCGCAATCGTGGCCCGATGACACGTGCTGACAGGTTGCGGTCCGGTGGGCGGGACGTTTGCGCGGGCGTCCGATGCGGCGACTCCAAGACCTGCGCGCTTCATTGCACCGCGGAGCAAGCGGGCGAGCTGTTTGGGGTCCACGCTGGCAAACATGACTTTTCTAACCAAGTGTCTCTCGGCCCCGCTCGTGCTCCTGGCTCGCCGTGGGCGAGCGACCCTTCGAGTCCTCACGCATGATTGCCTGCTGGGACGTCCACTGCGGCACCAGCTCGTTGCCCGAGCTACCTTGCGAGCCCAGCGACGGACCCCGGCGAGCCCCCGTGGCCTCCTCCACGCCCCAGCAACAGCGGCCCCTCCACCTCCTGGCACCCTCTCCCCGGAGGTCACATCGAGCCTACCAACTCGCACTTGTCTGAGGGGGGCCCAGGGGGGCTGTCCAGACGCGCCCCGATGGGGGATGCGCGCCCACGTCCCCGAGTCGGGCCCCAACCTATCTGGCCGCCAATCAAAAGTGTCACGAAGCCCGGGACAGGCCGCCATATCCCAGGCCTCCCCATGGGCGCCAAGATAATCGTGCTTCGCGCTTCGCGGCCTGGGCCGCAAATGTGCCCCGATCCAGGGCGGCGCGGCGCGGGGGTGCGCAGAGCACCGCGCGTCCCGCATGGCGGGCCGCGACGCGCGAAGTTGGGTGACCCAGATTCCTCTTCCTCGCCCCTCGGCCCGGAGCGTGGGAGCCTGACTCCCTCCACTGTGCACCCAAGGAGCAGATCGAGTCGATCCAGCAAAACAGCACGCTGGTGGAGACGTGCCTCGCCCGCCACACCCCGGCACGCTCCTCCATCTCCTCCGCGGGAGCGCGCGTGGAGGAGGATCAGGCGGAGGGGCAGGAAGAGGAGGAGGAGGAGGAAGAGGAGGAGGAGGATGTGGAGGAGGAGGAAGAGAAGGAGAAGGAGGAGGAAGAGGAAGAGGAGGAGGAGGAAGAGGAGGAGGAGGAGGAGGAGGAGGAGGAGGAGGAGGAGGATGAGGAGGAAGAGGAGGAGGAGGAGGACGAGGAGGAGGAGGAGGAGGAGTAGGATGGAGGAGGCAGGAGGAGGAGGGAGGATACGGAGGAGATATGCCCTGTTTTTTTTTTCCAGAGGCCAGGTGCTATTCTTGCTGCTGTTGTGTCTGGAAGCGGATGCAGCAGTGGAGGTCAGCAGGCCAGCTTGCCAAGCTTGCTCCAGTGCTGACAGCTTGTTGGCGAGCGATCTGTCGTCTAGACGGCAGACTGAGAAGGACGCGAGTGGATTGGTTGGGCCAGCGAAACCGCTTGAGCAAAACCGATTGCGGCAAGACCAAAATCATTCAGCATTGCCCGCTTACTTTGTATACTGCTACATTCTATACTTTCCTCAGGCCAGATGCTATTCTCGCTGCGATTGCCTCGAAACCGTGAACAGCAGTGGAGATCATTAGGCCCTCTGGCCAAACTTGCGGCAACCCGCCAACATCGAACGCTCTGGCGGTTGAGGCGGCCCATTCCTTACAGATGTGTTTCAACTGTCATGGACGCACGGAGAGCATTGAGAGACGAGGCAAGGCGGATAAGGCTCTGCAGCTAAGGTCCAAAGTCGCCCTCCAGAGGCCCTTCCCTCCAGCACTTGGTGCTACTTGTTCGAAAATTTGGGCCATCTTAATGGTTCAATGGAGCAACTCTCGCCTGTCTGCTAGCATGGAATCGTCGTGGCCTGGCGCCACTGGGCTCCAAGTCTGCAGTACACGGTGTTCAGAACATGTGCCATTGTCAGAAGCGCCGCGAGAGTTTTTCTGCCTCCGCAGCCAGGACGATCTAATATTCTCGACTGAGACTGGCACTCCATGCCGGACGCACGATCTGATAATTTTAATTGTGGCACGCATGAGATGATGTACCTGGGATGATTTTGGCAGCATCTGCAGGCGGAGTATTGCTGAGCCCCCCTGGACGCTTTTTGAAACGGAACGGACCTTCTGGGCCCCCGAGACCACCACGTCTGGCCGCAGAACAACTATCACAAGGCGTGCCCAGATGGACCCATCGGGCACGAGGATCGAATTTAAAGACTCTACGAAGTATGTTTTCGTCGGTTAGGTCCCTGCTCAGGATAAGAAACAATTAAAACACACATATATAGATTTTCTTGCGCAGGCTCTTGGACAATCCTTGCGTTGCTGGAAAAGCTAAAGAGTAAGTGGTCGATTAATGCCCGCAGACCTACGTCCTGGAGGCGGCTCACGAACTTGTCGGCCTGCCCTTACTCGATGGCGACTTCGAGGCTGTCGGCCGCCTCATTCAGGAGGAGCTGCCTGTCTCTCGGCACCGATGCCAGCCTTCTCATGACCCGCGAGTCGTTCTTTTTGTTCCTCCTCCTTCTTTGGTTTGCTTTACCGCGAAAATATGGTTATCATTATACATCGATTTATATGGTACATATACATGTAAGGACACACACACACACGTACGTATAGTTCATCTGTTTGAAAACGCCCCCCCACTACACTCTTCAAACGGTTGCACGTTTAGAGCTGAATATTCACATCGAGTGAGGAAGTTTCAGGCGAAACGCCCAGCCCGCCATACCAACACGTCTGGGGGTGCGATACCTATATGTATACACAACAAATTTCATAGATATACTTCGAGGAGAGAGGATGGAGGGAGGAATATGAGGAGGAAGAGGAGGGAGGAGGGAGGAGGGAGGAGGGAGGAGGAGGGATGAGGAAGGAGGGAGGAGGGAGGAGGGAGGGAGAAGGGGGAGGAGGAGGGAGGAGGAGGAGGAGGAGGAGGAGGAGGAGGAGGAGGAGGAGGAGGAGGAGGAGGAGGAGGAGGAGGAGGAACGAATGAATGAAAAAGCTCGTGGAGACCAGGTCTAGCCTGGGCACGCCTTGCATTCACGCAGCATGCGGGAATTTACCTCCGCTCTTGGGGGGCAACCCCCTCTCAAGACGGGAAAGCACCTCAGCCCCAGCCTTCGTGGGGGGGCGATCCGTCTTACAAGGTCGGGCAAGACTCTGAACATTCACAGATGCATGAGCACCACAATGAGCACAATACAAAACACCTCGCAAAACTCTCAATCGGTGGTTCGTGGCACAACCTGGATAGAGAGGGTGGGTGAGCGGGTCAGAAGAGAGATGGGCAGGGCCAGGACAGGTTCCTGGACGAAAGTCCTGGACACGATCCTTCAGACTGAACCTACGCGCACACATCTGACACTTCAAAAACAATCCGCACATTCTCGGCTCATCATGGCCAGCACTCCGCAACCTCTGTTTCCTGACAAGGAAGGAGGGGATAGGAGGTGGGCGTGGCGACGGGCGGCCGAGCCTGTCCGAAGTCCTCCTTGGGTTGGCCTGGACAACTTCCTTGTGGATCGCCAACAAACGATCGAGCGTGTGAGAAGTTATCCTATCAACAAACTGAGTTAGATCAACTTGCTCTGGGGTGGGGGCCGAACGCTCCGCAGCCCATGCAGCAAAATAATCGGCACACCAATTCAGGAAAAACTCCTCCTCCCCTATGGCGAATTGGGCCCGCTGTTGGGCCGTCGAGTGGCTCTTGATCCACAGGACCTCGACCCGACCAGGGCCCCGATCATCGAGAACCGACCAGATCCGAACCCACAGATCGAGCATGGTACTGCTGGCAACTACCTGAGCTCGTGGCTGCTTGAGCCCTTTCACCAAGGGCAGATAATCATAATAACATAATATATCATCAACAGTATGCGTGATCACCATGAGGAACGCATCGAGTTCAGCACGAGGACTCGACTGTTCAGCAGTAGGGAGACTACCACACATTACTGCATTGAGCTGGAGGGAGAGCCCATCGGGGAAGCCCAAACTCACGATCGACCACCCGCATCGACGAAGCCGTTTATCAGTAGCATACTTTCCACCCGAGCCATCAAGGCCCCACATTCCTCCTGGAACACGTAGCTGAGCCCTCAAGGTACCCCATTTCCAAACACTCGTCTGTGGAGGAGGTAGGTGACCACATGAGGCATCCACTGATGGGACCCCGCGAGTGAAGAAGGCACTCGCTGGATCTGCATTTTGAGCACCCTCGACAAGGTACTCGCTGCCAGAAATGCTGGGACATAACAGCAACGCATTGGAAGGACAGCCCCAGCATCGGTGAAGAGGCGTTTCACGCTCGTCACCACAACGGAAACATTTGCCGGAGGTTAGATATCCACTATCCTCAAGACGGCTCTCTGGCCAACATGCACCAACCACAATCGTCGCAAGAAGAGCAGCACTCTTGTAGTCGCCGTCGTCCAGCAACTTCTTATGCTTGGCACGAAACACAGTCAGATCAGCACCAGTAGCGAGTCCTTGCCCGCAATAGTGCTGGCTGGCCTGGGCCCACACCTGGGCAGAACACTTAGCACGGACAGCAGCAGTGACATGATAACGGAAATCTAGCGATGTCATTCTCAATGGTTCACTTCCGTCAACATGCCACTCATCAACTTGGCGAGGGTCCCAACCTAGGTCGAGAACAGTAGCAAAAAGAGCAGCAACAGGGCCACGAACCTGGCGCCACCTATCAGACGGGGAAACTGTTATCATCTTCTGCCTGAGGGACTCCCAAACTCTCCGAACTCCAGCTCGAAGACCTTCAGAAAGGGAAACCCAAACTTCCGAAACCAGAGTAAGTTGTTCAATACGCAACCGGTGACCTGGGTCATCTTTGGTGTCATGCAACACTCTCAACACAGTGGTGGTACACGCCCCAGAGGGCCAGAACCCAGAACATGCCGCAGCCGACGATCGGATCTGTCGCAGGGCCCCAGGTGATAGACCAAGTAGAGCATGTCCCCAAGTTCCCATGGAGAGGATCCCAGGTTTGAAAGCCTTCCGAGAGGCCCCACAAAGCCTAGCAAGGTATGCTAACTTACGCCCACGCCGAAACGATATGGCACGGCGCTGCTGGATCTTCCACGTGGCCCTCCTCTTGTGGGCGGTGGTGACCGAACCAAGATCCTTGACAGTGGGCGCGAACTGAATAGAGACACCATGCCTCTTAAACTCGCCCTCCAGGAGCCGCTGCAGCTCCACGGACGAGGCGACGGCGGCCGACTTGGAGCTGAGAAAACATCCAAGCTCAGCAATATCATGCTGGAAGGAAGCAGCAGCCTGCGGCAGGTAGCGACATATATAATCAGCAGTACCTTGCATATACTGTGTGATGTCATCTACATATGACCTGATGGGAACCCGAGCATGTGGAAGATCTCCAGGGCCTCGAGGGATCCTATTGTGAGCCTTCTCCAAAACTCCGTACAGGTAGCACTTTACCCAGGGCATGCTTTGACTACAGCCCGCCAGAACAGACTCCCCAGACATCAACACTTTCGATAAGCTCCCAGACGCCTCCAGGAGCCTCGGAGCAGTGTGGATGAGGAGCCCCAAATACAGCAGGTGCCCAGGGTACCCTTGATTGGTGGCAAAGTACAGGAGCTTACTAGGGCTGAAAGAGTCGAAGAACTTCTCGAGGTCCCAGTGCTGGGCGCAGGAGAGGAAACCACACGTATGGGCCACTTCATGGGCCAGCTCCCGAAACAACGCAGCCTTCAAGGCCGAGGAGCCCTTGACCGCCGAGTCCCAGAAGTCCAGGTGAGCCTTATTCCACTCGTCAATGTCGAAGCCCCGAGCTTTGCAGTAGATCCGATAAATGCTAGGACACTTGACGACAGCACGTTCACCACATATGGACTTAGAGAGCATGGCCATGAGACAAACATAGCATTGCGGAGGGAAACTCAAGGTCTCCTCCACGGTGCGCAAGATGCCCGTGAACGCGTCGAGCGAGTCGATCGGGGCAGACAGAAAAGTACGAGGCGACCACATATCAACACCAACAGCCGTGGTTGCCTTGAAACACGTACATGCGCGAGCAACATCAGGAACTCCAAGAGGATCAATGTCTTCAAGGGCTATCATGGCCTGGGATCGCAACTCGCTCAGGCCTGCATTCAGACAGGCCAAACGCTGAGGAGAGGGGGTCCACCAAGACTTCCACTTACTCTCACGATAGCTCATCATGGTCATCGGGGTATTGACAATACCTTCTGATGTTTCAAAGTATTCAACCCAAACCTTCTCATCAGCCTTCAAATAGCGATGGACGGGGCTAGCGCCTCGGGGAAGAGAAGCCTGAAGCCACTTGCGCATGCCGGCCTTAGTCTTAGCATGGGCAATCGTCCAGGATTTAGCACATACAACCGCACAAGCATCAACCAAGTTCCTGAGGGTCTCTGGTTTCCTCGGGGGGTTGTCGAGCATCTCATTCCAAGTTTCAGCATCCTCGGGAATCTCCAGAGGCTCAATATGCGCATACACATCTTCACTGAGTGCAGACAAGACAGCACGATGCTGCCGAACAGCATCTGAAAAGGGAGCTTTGCAAGTTGACTTCCACAGCTCGTACAGCCGGGCAGAAATAAGCGACCAGTAAGACAGATCAGGATTCCGAAAACTCTGCGCCTGCACACTGCGAGTCATCAGAGATACGTCTTTGCGCTTCAGCATACTACCGCGACCGAGGTATCGAGGGCGATTGGTGATGACGGCGCACGCACGTGAACAAGCTTGCAGTTCCATAGCCCGAGACCAAGTCAGATATTGCATACCTAACTCACGAGACAAATATTCCTTTGAGTGCTCATTCATGGCCTCGTGAAGGTCCTCAGGCATGACGAGGGGGGCCCCCAGGAATTCAGGAGCGGCAGCAGCCATATAAGTAAGCCAGTGATTATCAGGACCATAGGCCTCAGGGATCTCCAGGGGCTTAACTCTCTGGCACTGGGGCTCCACCATGGCTTCCAGATCCAAGACAACATCCAAGCACGCGTGCGTCTTGAACGGGGCCCCCAGGTCGGCAGACACCTTAAGGTAGGGGAAGAGCAGGTGGGGGCAGAGCACATAGTCAATCATCGTCTCACCGACGGTGCAAGTAAACTCAACACTGCTGGGAACAAGTGGCCTAGCACCCAAGAGCTCCAGGGTCCCCGCATCCCTCAGAAAGTCAACCGACATGTTGACATCTCCCATCAGAAGCCAGGGAATCGAGAGGCCCCGAACAAATTCAGCAACACCTCGAAGCCGATCAGAGTTGATCCCAGACACTCCAATAGACGGCACCAAGTAGATCACACCTACAGCAACAGTGCACGATTTCAACCGCATTTCCAATGATAGCCAGCATTCACCTGATCCTACCTGAACCGCTCCTTTCAATTGAACGAGAAACTTACGAAAGCAGAGACGTGGCTGGACAACCGCTGCGACTCCACCATGTGTGCCTCCACCTGGCGATGCCAACACATCCTGAAAGTGTGGGGACCACTTCATATGTCGACAAGTCTTCTTGGCCAGCAAGCAACCTGGCCCTCGCTGATGATGCGCAGCCAGGAATATCCCATCAACCTCAGAAACCTTAGCCGCGAGAAAGTCCTGAGTGAGCTTAGACCATTGCGTAACATTGACAAACTTAAAAATACATGCTGGAGGGGCTGAAATTGGGGCGACGCCGCCGCAGGGGGCGGAGGAGGCGTGCTAAACAGAGGGCTGGGCCTCAGAAGCAGCCGCGCCTCCACCAGCAGCACCTCCTGGCGGGGCAAACCCAGCCCCGTGCTGGCCCATCTGCTTCGCGGTGGCGTTGCAGAAGGCGCGGCACATGTCGCAAGTGACGCTCTGGCTGATGCGATCACGCTTCGTCGACTTGGCGATGATGCGCTTCTGGATGAGGTCGGCGTGCTCCTTTGCAGCATTCTCGTCGAGTCCCGTGTCAGCAGCACGCTTTTTGAGCTCGCGAAGCTGGTCGCGCTCCCCTTGCTCAAGGTCGCCTTCACCGACCTCGCTGCCCATGTCAGAGGCGGCGTCATCAGCTGCAGGGGATCGCATCCGTTGAAGGTGGAGTCGATACTGCTGCCATTGAGGAAGCAGGATGCCCGAGTACTGCACGAGCTTGGACAGGTCATCGTCGGTGAACTCATGCAGGTGAGCCTCCACGTAGGTGTAGTCAACCAGCATGCCACGCAGCCAAGGAACAGTATCAACATCCATGCCCTCGCCCTCGTGGGCGGCCGCTTGGCGGGCGCCAAAGGCGCCGCCTGTCCGTCCGTCCGCACCAGCAGGCGGGGGGCGCCATCCCCGCCTGGTGCTGGGCCTGGGCGGACGGCGCCCGCGGCCGCCTGGGCTTGGGCCTGCCGCTGCTCCCGCAGCCGCCGCTGCTCCTCGACCTTCGCCGTCTTGTAGGCCACGACATCAAAGGCAGACTTGGCATTGTCCGCCTCGCGCGTCGCCTTCCTGGCCACCTCGAGCTGCTGCTCAGCCTCGACGTGGTTCCTCTGCATCTCCTCCATCGTAGCCTTGGCCTTGTTGAAGCGGTCCAGCCGCCACTGGACCTCCTGGTGCGCAAGGCGCTCCTTCTTGGTGGCCGCCTCGCACTTCTTTGCCAACTCCGTCTGCTCAGCCGCAGCAAGCCGATCAAGCTCGCTCTCCGAATACTCATGAACTTCAGGAACAGGGGGAGGCGCTGCATCACGAGCAACGCCTGCGAGCGCAGGGTAATGCACAGACCATTTCTGCAACTCTTGGACCAGATGAGGTGGCATAGGCACCGCCGCAGCGCCTGGAGCACCTCCTGCAGGGTCGCACGAAGCAGAAGCAGGACCAGATGCATGATAACAGTACTGACCACCACACTTGCTGCACGCGCGATGGCCATACCGAGTGAACTCCCAATGATTGCACATTGAGCAGACCTGGTAGGAGTTGTCCTTCTCCTTGTTCTTCTTCTTAATGGAAGCAGCGGGAGCAGCGGGCTTCCACACCCATGCGCCACCGCCGCCGTCGCCGCCAGCATGCCAGGGGGCGCGGCTGCGCCAGGCCATGGCCGAACACGGGCGGTGTACAGTAAGTGCCGAAGAGACTGCCGGACCACCAAGGGTCTTGCCTGCCGCGGACTAGCGGTATCCATTTTGTCCCACGTGGAACATAGCATCTTGAGCCAAAATGGCTACGGGGAGGAGAAGGAGGAGCAGGAGGAGGAGGAGGAGGAGGATGAGGAGGAGGAGGAGGAGGAGGAGAGGGAAGAGGGAGGAGAAGGCAGTTGGAGGAGGAGGAGGAGGAGGAGGCGGAGGAGGAGGAGGAGGAGGAGGAGGAGGAGGAGGAGGAGGAGGGAGGAGGAGGAGTAGGGAGGAGGAGGGAGGAGAAGGCAGTTGAGAGGAGGAGGAGGAGGAGGAGGAGGAGGAGGAGAAGGAGGAGGAGGAGGAGAATGATGAGGAGGAGTAGGAGAATGAGGAGGAGGCGAAGGGCGGAGGATGAGGAGGGCGGAGGAGGAGGAGGAGGAGGAGGATGAGGAGGAGGAGGAGGGCATGATGATGATGATGATGATGCTGATGATGATGATTGATGATGATGATGATGATGATGATGATGATGATGATGATGATGATGCTGATGATGATGATGCTGATGCTGATGCTGATGCTGATGTGATGATGATGATGATGATGGTGGTGGTGGTGGTGGTGATGATGATGATGATGGTGATGATGATGTGATGATGATTATGATGATGATGATGATGATGATGATGATGATGAGGAGGAGGAGGAGGAGGAGGAGGAGGAGGAGGAGGAGGAGGAGGAGGAGGAGAGGGAGGAGGAGGAGGGAGGAGGAGGAGGAGGAGGAGGAGGAGGAGGAGGAGGAGGAGGTGGATGGGGGAGGGGGAGGCGGAGGCGGAGGCAGTGGAGGAGGAGAGGAGGAGGAGGAGGAGGAGGATGAGGAGGAGGATGGATGAGGCAGGAGGAGGAGGAGGGAGGATATTGAGGAGGAGGAGGAGGAGGAGGACGATGAGGAGGCGTAGAGAAGGAGGAGGCGGATGACGAGGAGGAGGAGGAGGAGGAGGAGGAGGAGGAGGAGGAGGAGGAGGAGGAGGAGGAGGAGGAGGAGGAGGAGGGAAGGGGGAGGAGGTGGGAGGAGGGCGGAGGATGGAGGAGGCGGGAGGAGGAGGAGGAGGAGGAGGAGTGCGGAGGATGGAGTTGGAGGAGGAGGAGGAGGAGGAGGAGGAGGAGGAGGAGGAGGAGGAGGAGGAGGAGGAGGGAGGAGGAGGGGGAGAGACAAGCTAGGTGCGCTCGCGTCATATCTGACGCCCTACCCCTTTCTCTCTTCCCTTAAAACGGCGTAGATCTCCACTCAATTCGAACAATCGGATGTCGCAACATTGCATAGCATTACATGGCATAGCATGTTGCTGAAGATCAACGCGTAGCATGACATAGCATGACGTGGCGACTCCCCAAAGTGGGGGGGGCTTCTGCGGCCCAAAAAATCAAATAATCGACTCCGAATGTGTAATCATTTCCGATTGTTTTTTTCGGTGTGTGTGTGTGTGTGTGTGTGTGTGTGTGTGTGTGTGTGTGTGTGTGTGTGTGTGTGTGTGTGTGTGTGTGGGGGGGGGGTATTGTTCAGATTTTGGAGTCTATTTGGAAGGATTGAAAACCATGCCGTGGCATTGCACTGGAAATAAAGACGCCAGCGCTGCAGTGGGAGTACGATTCGGGACGAGCGGAAACGCGGAAGTCAGGCCAGCGCTGCAGCGGGAGCACGATTCGGAACGAGCGGTAGCCCGAAAATGAGGCCAGCGCTCCAGCGAGAGCAGCATTTCGAAAAAACACCCAAGCGAAAACCCAACTCCCGGGAATCCTGTGTGTAGAAAACCAGTATGCGGAGGGGGGCCGGACATTTCCCGCACGTCACCAGGGGAGAGAGGAGAGCAGTATTCACATTGAGTAATTGTTGAGGGAGGAGGTAGAGGATGGAGGGAGGGGAGAGGAGGGAGGCAGGGAGGAGGAAGAGGGACCCTCCCCAGCGCGCGCGCGCGCCCGCACACCCGCGCCCCCGCGCTCGCGCGCTGGCACGCTCTGCGCGCGGCTGCTCTCTCTCCATGCCTGCCCCCGCTGCCGCTTCCCTCCTCGCTCTCTCCCCCTCCCCGCTGCTGCTCGCTCCCCCCCTGCGCCCGCTGGGCGGCGGCCTCCTCTGGCTGGCGCCGCGCCCTCCTCGAGCCTGGAGCCGCTCCTCCTCCAGGCGGCCCAGTGCGGACGATTGCTTCAAGGACACTGGCCACTCGGCGGCAGGATTTGTTCGCCGCCTCGCCGCGGCGGCGGCGCTGTCGAGGGCGGTCGAGGCCGAGCTCTGGGCGCAGTTTCCAGAGGCGACGGTCGGGGCGAATAGCCCAGGAGGTGGGGCAATACTCAGGAGGGGAGAAAACACACAGACACAATGCAAGCGTCCATCCCCAGGGAAATATAGGAAAATATGGGAAGTTGGGGGGAAGGCAGAAACCCAGAAAATATGGGAAACTAAGGGGAATCCTGTTATTTGTGTCTATTTCTTTGTGTGTCCCAGGGCCCCTTTAAATACATGTATCCAGGGGCTCCGATTGTCCATGTCTTCGGCGAGGCTCCTCCGGAATGCGCGTCATGCCCGCCCCTTGCCCCTGGGCTGTTCGCCCTTATCGTCGCTGACGAAAATCATTGGCGCCCTCGCCAACGGGGGTCGGGCAATCCCCTCTAGGGCCCCCTGGCTGACGCGGCTTTGGAAGGCGTGTGGAGTCGCTTGCCCTTCTTCCCCTGTCTCCGCTGTCGACTCTCCCGGAGCACCTCACCGCTTGCTGACCGGCGTCTGACTGTCTTTGACCACTTGGCGCCTGCGGGTTCAAATTGTCTCCGCTGTCGCGGGTCTGGGAGCTGATGTTCCGTGGCCGGCCCAGGGTTTGCGGTATGGCCCTGGTCGACCCGTGTCAGCGCTGGCCCAGGTCAGGGCCCTCGAGGGGCCCGTTTTGGGCCCCCGGGTGCCCGCGGCGCCGAGATGAAGGCCGACGTCGCGGCATGGACCCGCTGTGCCGTCCGTGGCTTCTGGCGCCGCATGTAGTACAAACCACCGTTCCTGCGTCGCCAGTGGATTGTGTATGCCGCCGATATCTGGCCCACTCAGGAAGAGGAAGGAGGAGGATGGAGGAAGAGGAGCATGGGGGGTGAGGAGGATGCTCGCCTCATTCCCAGACACCCCCGAACCTCCCCCTCCAAACTGCTGGGGGTGGTGGGGATTGTGGTGCTGGTAATGATGATGGCAGTGATGATGGTGTTGGTGACGGTTGTACTGGTCGTAGTGCGGATGAAGATGACAACTATGATGAGGATGACGGTGGTGGTGAGGGTGATGATGATGCTGCTGCTGACGATGATGATGATAATGTTGATGATGATGATGATGATGATGGTGATGATGATGATGATGATGATGATGCCGACGACCACCACGACGACGGCGATGGCGGCGGCGCCGACGACGACAATGACCATGGTGATGAGGAGCATGATAACGTGGATGATGACGTGTATGACGTTGATGGCGGTCTTGATGTCAATTACGTTGTCGATGACGACGGCGACGGCGGCGGTGGCGACGACGATGATGATGATGATGATGATGATGATGATGATGATGATTCTGATGATGATTCTGATGCTGATGATGATGCTGATGATGATGCTGATGATGCTGATGATGAGAATGATGAGGAGGATGACGATGATGATGATGTCGATGACGACGATGACGATGATGATGATGCTGCTGCTGATGATGCTGATGCTGATGATGATGATGATGATGATGGTGGTGGTGGTGATGATGGTGGTGGTGGTGACGATGATGATGGTGATGATGATGGTGATGATGACGACGATGATAATGATGATAATGATGATGATGATGATGATGATGATGATGATGATGATGATGATGATGATTATGATGATGCTGATGATGATGATGATGATGATGACGATGACGATGATGACGATGATGATGATGATGATGATGATGATGATGATGATGATGATGATGATGATGATGATGATGATGATGATGCTGATGCTGATGCTGACGCTGACGCTGATGCTGCTGATGATGATGATGATGCTGACGATGACGATGACGATGACGATGATGACGATGATGACGATGATGATGATGATGATGATGATGATGATGATGATGATGATGATGATGATGATGATGATGATGATGATGATGATGATGATGATGATGATGATGATGATGGTGAGACAAATCCTTATTCTTCTGCCTACCCCCCTCTTTCTCTTCGTCCTCATCCCCGTTCCTAGCTCCTCAGAGCCCTCTAGATACCTGTCTAGCCTCGTGAGGTCTTTCTCCCTCCCCCTGATCCTTCGTTCTTCATCATCCTTCCCTTCCTCCTGCTCCCTGCAACCCTCGCCCCCTATCCATCCTGCTGCCCCCCCGCTCTTCCTTCCTCCTTTCTCCCATCCTCCTCCCTCCCTCCTCCGCTTCCTTCTCGCTCGCACTCCTTCTTTACCTGCTTCCGCTCATTCTTCCTCTCCCGCTCCAGTTTCTCCGTGCCTCTTGCTCTGCCTTCCCTTCTCACCTGCTTCGCCACGCATCCATCGCTTCTCCGAATAGTGCTTATCATACTTTCCCATCGCTGCCTCTGAGGCCCTCCTAGCGCCTTCTTGGGCCATCTTGGACGCTCCAACGACCCGCGAACCCCCGCCTCCAGGTCCAGGGGAGGGGGTAGGGGGAGGGGTCAAGCTACCCATCCGCCCGCAAGCCGTCTAGCTCACTCCCACCCGCCCTCCCTTCACATACGTAACACCCGAGCCTCTGCATGTTCAGCGGTCGTCTTTGGATGGACAGTGCTGGGAACCAAAGCCGACCCCAGGTGCGCGACGCTTGGGCGAGGTGCGCCACAGGCGTGCCAGGGGCGCCACGTGCGCCAGGCACCCCTGAGGCCCGAGAGTGCCAGGCACGCCTGGTGCGCCAGATGCGCCACGTGCTCCGAGTGCGCCAGGTGTGCCGCACACTCCAGCCGCGCCAGGTGCGCCGCGTTCGGGGCACGTGCAGAGTGCGTCAGGTGCGCCTGCGCACGTGACTGCCCGCATCGGGAAACATGTCGGCCCCTGCCATCCTTGTCGAAAACCGATGCCGATCATCGTGTCTGGCGGGCCTGCGCACAGCAGGCCACGCGCCACCACCCCCGCCGTCACTGTCAAAAACTACTTAACAGTGATCGCGGGATGGACGCGCATGATTCAGATTAAGCCGCGAGGTGCATTTTTTTGTCAGGGGTGGTAGCCCTGCGCGCAGCAGGGAGTATGGAGTATGCTGACACCTCCGCCGCCCTTGTCAAAAGCAAAGCAAAGTGCTCGCGGGCCTCACGAACCCCACGGGAGGTTCCAGTGGCACCGCCCGCATGCGTCCGCCACCACACACGGCCCTTGCTCCCTGCGTTTCACCCGTCCAGTACAGCGTTTCGTGGCCCCATAGGGGGCCCCACCGAAGGTCCCAGTGGCACCGCCCGCACGCGCCCGCCACCACCCAGTACAGCCCTTGCTCCTTGCGTCTCACCCACCCAGTACAGCGTTTCGTGGCCCACTAATAGGGCCCCCCACCGAAGGTCCCAGTGGCACCGTCCGCATGCGTCCGCCACCACCCAGCACAGCCCTTGCTCCCTTGCGTTTCATCCACCCAGTACAGCGTTTCGTGGCCCCATAGGGAGCTCCACCGAAGGTCCCAGTGGCACCGCCCGCATGCGTCCGCCACCACCCAGCACAGCCCTTGCTCCTTGCGTTTCACCCACCCAATACATGGTTTCGTGGCCCCATGAAAAGGGGGCTCCACCGAAGGTCCCAGTGGCACCGCCCGCATGCGTCCGCCACCACCCAGCACAGCCCTTGCTCTCTTCGTTTCACCACCCAGTACAGCGCTTCGTGGCCCCATGGGGAGCTCCACCGGAGGTCCCAGTGGCACCGCCCGCATGTGTCCGCCACCGCCCAGTACAGCCATTGCTCCCTTCGTTTTACCCACCCAGTACAGAGTTTCGTGGCCCCATAAAAGGGCCCCCCACCGAAGGTCCCAGTGGCACCGCCCGCATGCGTCCGCTCCCTGCGTTTCACTCACCCAGTACAGGGTTTCGTGGCCCCATAGGGAGCGCCACCGAAGAAAATACTCACAATTGCGGTACTCACAACTGCATATGGTTGGGTCTTGCGCCTGGCTAATTTGACAGGGGCGGTGGGGGGCGGGTCGGCATGTTGTCGGCATGGGGTCGGGTTGGCCCCCGGTCGCCAGGGGGAGGGAACAGTGATAAATCCCTCCCCGAGTGGGTAAGATGAGGGTTGGGAGGGAGAATTCTCTAGACCACCTACGCCCAGAGGGCTGGTCGGACTCCTTCGAGCAACTCGAGGAGCTTTACAGCTTTTCGTGTTCCCCAGCTGTGCGACTCGTTCTGCGCCCGTCCCTCGCCGTCGTGCTGCCCCAGTGTTCGAAACTTCTTCTGCCGTGCCACCAGGAGTGTTTCGAGCAGCGGCGAAGCGTCCTGGCGTGCCCACAGGCCTACCAAACAGTGTTGTAAGACCCTTTTGTGGTCTGCGCGAAGTGTTCTTAGAACATTTCTGGCTGGGGCTGTCTGGTTTTAACAGATCGGGTTTATTATGTTCTAAGAACATTGTTTTTGTTCTTAGAACATTTTCGGGTTCTACGAACATTTCGTGGTAGGCCTATAGAAATGTAGGGACGGTCGGTCCCTGCTCGAGTGTTGGTAGGGAAGTCAGGGTGTATTGCTTGGTACCTCCTAACAACGCCATAAACATAAGCTTTTGTGGCTCTCCGCGCGGATCTCTTGGATCCGTGCTGGACAACAGTTTGTGTTTTTGACGTTTCTCTTCTTCATAACTTCAGAGTCCGAACGGTCATACGTACGGAGGAAGGATTGATGTCGCAATTTGACTCTCGCCCTCGCGTCGCGCACATTCGTCCCCTCAATATCTAGTGGCCTTTGGCCTACCCCGCCACCGTGCGTGGGTTGTGCGTCAGGGTCCTCAGGGGTGCTTCTTGGGGTCTCTTCGAAGCGCTGTCGGGGGCCTCTTGGGAGCAGATCTGGGGCCTTTCGGGGGCCTCCTGGGGGCCTCTTGTGAGCCTCTTGGGGGCCTCTTGAGGGCCTCTTGAGGGCCTCTATGGAGCCTCTTGGGTCTTCCTGGTGACCTCTCGGGGCCGAGGGCTCGAAGGGTTCCGCCGTCTGGGTCCTCTCCTGGGGCCGTCTTAGGGGGCCTGTTGGGCCGTCTTGGAGTCTTCCTGGGCCGTCTTGGTATCATCTCGGGCCGTTTTGGGGCAGTCTCGGAGGCCTCTTGGGCCGTCGTGTGGCGATCTTGAGGGCCTCTTGGGCAGCCTTCGAGCGTCGGGAAGCCCCAAAGGCGAAAGCCCCAACATCCGGCAAAACCCTAGGACAACCAGTGATTTTTGCCTCTTGGGGCCTCTTGGGAGGCCTCCTGGAGGTCTCTTGGGGCGTCGTGGGGGCATCTTGGGGCGTCTTGATTTCAACTTGGACGTCTTGGGCTGATCGTTCGGCAATTCGGGGCTCTTTCGGACCGTCTTCGGGGCCTCTGAAGGCCCTCTTGGCCCGTCTTGGGGGCCTTCTTGGGCTCGAAAGAGTCACGCGACAAGCCGCGCCGCGGAAAGCCCCAGAAGATTTGGTTATTTCGGGTCCCGGCCTCAAGGCCACGGTGGCGCACCTTCGGCGGCTGCACGGACGGAGGGCGGGAGACCGCGTCTGCACAAGCGGGCTCCCGCCTCAGCACTGCCTCCGTGCCTCGCTTGTGGGCCAGCGGCTTCTTGGATGCCCCTCGGAGGCAGCTTATGCTGGGCCTGTTTACCACCATCACCACCATAAGTTGGAGGGGGGCAGGAGGTGGAGGAGGAGGAGGAGGAGGAGGAGGAGGAGGAGGAGGAGGAGGAGGAGGAGGAGGAGGAGGAGGAGCTCTCTTCGGCAGCTTAGGGCCCCCCCTTCCTTCGCGTGCCCCTGCCGCAGCCCATTTTCCACAGGCCGCGGGGCG